GGAATAGGGTACTGAATTGTCCAATCAGCCATGATCCTACTGATGGATGGAGTAGGCTTGAAGGGCCTCCTCCTGCTCTTGTATTCTATGTTTCAAGTACGAGTCCTACTTACCTTGGAGGTATGATGTAACATGTCTCAACAGATTGATTGAAAATAATTAAGCAAGCCATATTTTAAGCTTGACTGTTTTATCTGTAACTGTTAAAGTATCAGGCTTGTTCACCCTCCCAATTGTAAAAGGCCATTTTTTTTCTACCTGAAAAATACCCTGTCTACATCAAATTACTCTGCAAAGTTTTAAAAGAAAATGACAACAGATGAAGCAAGATGTTTCATGCTGTAGTATGCAGTGGCTACATTAGTGGTATTTTCCAGTAACTATGAGGCTGTCAGTCCAAAAAGATTGTGTTTCACACAGAATTGAGTAACATTAGGTATCAGTTTTAGTGCTGGTACAATGACAGGCTATAAGTCCCAACAGTTGGCTGATTGCATCAAACGGCATCAGCATTATCTTTTGGTCATCCATTATCGGCAGATGCTCAACCAACTTGCACTTGCAAACCCTAAACAGATCATTTACTGTTAGATGTTGTCCTGTGATTGTCTGAAATTGTCCTGCTATAGCATTCAAATGAAAGCGACAACTTACAACTTGGGAGCAGACACTTACTGTGAAATGAATGAAAACTCACTCTGGTATAGAAAATTTATGTTATAAACTAAGATAATTTATTTTCTGTCTCTTCCCTTAGGGAAAGGAGAATCTCTGCAAGACAACTGATTTTGACCATCAGTTGGAAAGCCGCCCTTATGATGATCTGGCTGGGATATTTCCGATGAATTATGAACCAGCTGCATTTACTGCAAAGGATTCAGGGAAACTACAAGTATTGATAGATCTTTTGGCAAGCATTCATGAACAGAATTCAGCTGAAAGGTAGGGAAAGGCTTCAACATTTAAATTGATAGTAGCTATGTCACTGGTTGGTTGCACTCAACCGAGCAACACTTTTTTAATAGCAAATATATTTTCCTTTTCTCAAAAGATTATCTGTTAAAATCATTGCTTTGATAATATTTCATAACTTGCCAGAGAATAAAAAAACATAATAAGCTGACAGTTTGTTAATATAAAATGAAATTTTACAGCACAGGAGTAAGCCATTCAACTTATTGTGCTCGTGCCAGTTCCCTGAAAAAATTTTCTTTTTATTCTGTAATGAGATAGAATTTCCATGGAGTTTCCCTGACCACTCACTGTAACTTTTACACAAGATGAATGGAAACCCTGGAAAAGATGTATGCAAATAATTGGCAAACGAATTTTAACAAGTGGGAATAGGGTACTGAATTGTCCAATCAGCCATGATCCTACTGATGGATGGAGTAGGCTTGAAGGGCCTCCTCCTGCTCTTATATACTAAATGTGAGTTAGTATCTTTTTTGTAGGATGAGTAGGGAGGTAATTTATTACTCTGGATGTGCAAGTCCAGGTGGGGTAGAAGAACAAAGGGACTTTGGAGTGCAAATGCAGCAATAACTAAAGGGTGCACAACAGATCAAGATGATAAACCAAGCACTAGACTTTATTTCTATTGGGATAGAATTGAAAAGTCGAGGTTATGCTAAACCTGCAACAAACTTAGTTTGTACCTCAGTGCGAGTACTGAGTGCAATTCCAGTTGTCCTATTATGAAAAGAAATAGAAGCACTGGAGAGCATACAGAGAAGATTTAGAAAGATGCAAAGATAAGTGAATGAGCTACTGCCATGCTTGTGGATAATACAAAAGTGGGCAGGAAGGCAAGTGATGAGGATCTCAAAGAATCTACAGAGGGATGTAGGCAGGTTAAGTGAGTGGGCATAAACTTGACAGATAATTTCTAGAAGTCGAAAGTGACTGCTTTGATTCTATATGCTACACATATAGAAGTAGTACGTGTCCAAATACAACAACATCCAGGCTTGGGCTGATAAATGGCGAGTAACAATTGTGTCATGCAAGTGCTAAGCATTGACTGTCTCCAGCAAGAGAGAAACTAACCATCATCCCCTGATGGTCAGTGATGTTACCATTGGTGAATCCCCAAGATTTTAATGGTGGGGTAACTATTAACCAGAAACTAAACTGAAACAGCCATATGACTACTGTGGCTTCAAGAGCAGGTTAGAGAACTAAGATGCAGTACATTAACTCACCCAGGCGTTTCGACAACACCTTGTAACCCAGGACTTCTACCATTTCAAGGACAAGGTCAGCAACCATTAAGCCCATTGTGTCTGCATCAACTCTTCAACAAGCATTATGACTTAGTGCCATTTATATGCCTTTTCCCTAAACCCTTGCAGATTGTTTGAATAGAGACAATCACCCAATGCCTATCCAGTGATGTGTATCTAGATCATTCAGGTGCATTGCTATTCAACTTAGGTCAGCATATACTCAATTACTGTATCCACACTAATCTCACTTTTTCTAGCAGTTGGCCTATAGCCTTGAATTTTGTGATGTTTCAAGCGCTCATCAACCTTTTTAAAAGTCGTGAGGTTCCTGCTTCTGCTGCCCTCCCAGGGACTGCATTCCAGATTCCCAATGCCCTCTGACTTAAATTTATTTCCCTCAAATTGCTTAAAAACCTAGAATCATAGAACCCCTACAGTGTGGAAGCAGGCCATTTGGCCCATCAAATCCACACCATCTCTCCAAAGAGCATCCCACCCAGAACCAACCCTTACCCCATCCCTGTAACCCTGCATTTTCCATTAAACCTGCACATCCCTGGACACTATGTGTGATTTAACATGGCCAATCTACCTAACCTGCATATCTTTGGACTGTGAGAGGAAACCGAAGCACCCTGAGGAAATCCACACAGCCATTGGGAAAATACACAAACTCCACACAGACAGTCACCTGAGGCTGGAATTGAACCTGGGTCCTTTGCACTGTGAGGCAGGCAGCAGTGCTAACCACTGAGCCGTTATACCTCTTGTTCTTGAACTTAAAAATATGCCTCCTAGTCATTAACCCTTCGACTAACGGGAACCACACCTTCATATCTACCCTGTCCTTATCTTTCATAATCTTATACACCTCAATCAAGACCAGCCACCCCGCCCCCACCCCTCAGCCTTCTCTGCTTTGAAGAAAATAAACCAAGTCTGTCCAGCCACTGTTCGTATCTAAACTGCTCCAATCCAGGCAACATCCTGGTGAATCTCCTAATACAATCCCATCCTTCTTATAGTGTGATGACCAGAACTGCATACAGTACTCCAGCTTTGGCCTAACCAAAAGATTGCTCCAACATAACCTCTCTGCTCTTATAATCTGTACCTGGATTGATAAAAGCAAGTGTCCTCTTAACCACCCTATTAACCTGTCCTGTTGCCTACAGGGATCTATGGACAAACATCCCTAGATGCCTCTGTTCCTTTTCCTTGTATACTGCTGCTTATTGTGGACTCTGTTGCCTTGTTTTCTTTTCACTTCTTTTAATGTTTTACCAATTATTTGCTTCGCTTTCTTACTTTTGTTTCCAAAGTGCATCATTTTATGTTTTTCTGTCCTAATCTTCATTAAATATCTGTTTGTTAAATATGTTCATTTGCCTACACACTCTATACAAGTTAATTATACTAATTTCTGATCTGAAAACTACCACTTGACTAACTTTGTAGCCTCTGAATGTTTAGTTGTGGAGTTGAGCCCCTTGCCAGGATATGACTAGACTGACCTTTCATGAATTATTGAGAGAGTGTTGCATTGATGGAGTTGCCATCTTTCAGATGCGATTCCTAATTTTAAAACTTTCCTCACTGATGGCTGAACCTTTAGCTATCTAGGTCGTAAGCTCTGGAATTCCCTCCCTAAACCTCTTTGCCTGTCCACTTTTCTTTATTCCTGAAATCTACTGCTTGACTAACCTGTAAGTCATCTGATTTACCATATCCTTATGTGGCTTTGAGTCATATTTTGTTTTATACTGCCAATGTGAAGCATCTTGAAATGTTTTATTGTGTTAAAGCTGCTTTATAAATGCAAGTTATTGTTAAAACATTAGCAAAGTTCCCCTTCACCCTGTCCTCGTCATCATTCTTCCTTCAAATAAATGTTGTGAACAAGAGCAGATTATGTGGGCATTCAACTTGTTACGACTCATTTGCATTGTGCAAATTGGCAGCTGTATTTGCCTACATAACAACGTTGACTTTACTTCTAAAGTAAATTATTAGTGATGAAACGTTCAATATGAATACACATTCTTTTCTTTACTTTTTTTAATCCTTTTAGTCACACACTATCCATGCTGCCACTTTCCCTGTGATCTTTAATTTTATTAGCAAGTTTCCTCTGTAGCATGTTATTACATAAAGAAGTAATGCATTTGTTAGACAAATGTGTGTCTTATACAAATCTTCCAACTGTATTTAATAAATCTGGCATTTTTAAGCAGCAGTTATTTTTATTCTGTACTTTTGACTTTACTGCTGCTGTTGAATAGATTGGTCCTTGTTTTTCTGATTAGTTGCTTTCCTATTTTAAAAAGAGGTGCTGCACATACTGGAGAACATAAGTGAACAGAAATATATTGAGAGAATCAGTTACTGCCTTTAGCTCTGGGAATAAAATTCAACCAGTACCGTGATTATACCATTTTTTTTCAATGAAAATGTGATATAAATTACATAAAATTTATTTTTTGCATAATTATTTAGTGTTATTTTATTTATATTCTGAGTCAATATTTTGTTACATACTACACCTTTAAATTCCCAACCATGTAACCTTTCACTTGCAAATCCTCATTTTTTCAGCTGACAATTAAACTTAATTAATCTTAAACGTGTTACACTTCTGATGCCCTTTATAATCATAAAACCATCACCCTAAGCATTCTTCCGCTTATTTTTGTAGCATTAAGTCCAAAGGACACAGATACGAATATCTGTGATTTAATGGAGTTACTTAACACACCATTGAAGCTTACTTTCCATTCCTAACAATACAAGGTTTATCCTGGAATGCACCAATAACATTTTTCATTTTTTTTTCCACAACAAGCAGTCTTCTTGAACCACTCTAGTGTCTCTCCACTATCAGCTCAAACAAAAGGTCGACATTCTTATCACAAAGGTTAAGACCATTCTCTGCTGCTTCCTTTCCTTTCCCCAACCCATTGGGCCAAATGTTTCCTAATATTCCCTGCCACTCTAACGCTGAACTCCTAATTTTCTTCAAATACCATCCCATCCCCTTACTTGCTGTCTCCAAGTAAATCTTGTGGCCCACCTTCTGCTTCTGTATCCCTATTCCTATCAAATTGTTGAGCACCTAACTTCGTTCCACACTAGCTCGTATTAGCAATTCTCCGTCCTCAAGTACTTGTACCCTTCCGCGTCAAATCTAATGTCATCATCTCTCTGCTTAAAACCTACCCTGGATACTATTGTCCAGACAAACTACTACATCAAGTCCAGCCTCCTTTTTCTGTCAAAATCTGTCAAATATGTTGTCATCTTCCAAATCTGTGCTCATCTTTCCTACAATTCTATGTTTGAATCTCTCCAGTATGGTTTCTGCCACTGAATGGCACAGGAAAGACACAAATGTAATTCTATTTGACTGTTGCCATAATAATGTTTTCCAACATGGTGCCACTACCAAACATGTCTTCCCATTTGCTCCCCTTTCAGTAATCCAAAAGGGCCATTTTCTCAGCAACATCCTGGTCCCTCCTCAGTAATCCCTAACACTCTTTTCCCATTCCCACAGCACCTTCCCATGTAACACCTTTTATATCCCCCAGTCCCAGTCCCATCTCTTGCAGAGAGCTGACATGGGCTGGATAGCCTGAATGATCTGTGTAATAACAATTCTAGAATATAGTCTCTACCTTACACCATACAGATACACCTTCCGTTTTTGCTCTTCCT